TATATATAGGTGTAGTAGTACCTCTTCGGGCTCTTGGATACCTTTTTCTTGCTACGTGTGCGTGTTCTTTAGATCCTCAGATGGCTCTAGCACTTTCGTGACCACGGGCTGAGAGTCTTTGCTAGATTTTGGCATTTAGCAACTGGCATACGGTTTAATGTGAAGTCAACAACAACAACAACAACAACAAGGGCAAAAACCATTTGGCACGCGAGAACTCAAGACTCTTGTGCGTACCATGTACCATGCACGTAGAAGAAAAACAAATCGCAAAATAAAGACAGAAAAACACGGACGATGGCAGAGAAAAAGACAACGGGGAGACAAGGGGACGAGATCGGGTGCAAAAGAACTTTGCTTCTCCTTCATTTGCGCCTATCAAAAGCAAAAAACACTCGGACGGGAAGCACCGAAACTGTGCTAGTCATTTTGTTGTGGTGTAGTCTGACATACAACAAGAGGAGGGCCGATGAGGCCACCACCATTCCACCGCCTGCAACGACGTACACAGCATCCCCATCACCAACAACAACGGCACAGGTACGAACCTTGCGCGCTGGGGCCTTCTGTTCCTCCTCCGCTTCGTCCCCGGACTTGTCCGCGGCGCGTGTGTGCTCGTCGCTGTCGCTGCCATCGCTGTCGCTATCGTCGGGGGTGGGGTCGGCGGCCAAGAGGACCTTCTCCCATCACACACCAGTCCACAACAGAAAAACACACAACAGTATCAGTTCTCTATCACACACCAGAGATCGGAACAGTTTATGACGAGAAGACAACAACAACAGCAGCAGCAGCAGCAGCAACAGCAACAACAACAACAACAACAACAGCAAATCACAGGCAGGAAAAAAAAAGAGCGTCACACTCCGCTCGCTGCCTTGGTTTGAGACAAACTACAACACCAGTGGCACAACGCGCGAATCTCTGTCGCAGTTCTAGCGTCTGCTTTGCAGTCAGTCGCCAAGCCTACCGGCACTGCACTATGATCCAAACGCACAACACATGCGGCAGCCAGCCACAGAGCAGCATGGTATTCCCAACCGAACAGAAGGAGCTGGTTGCCTAGCTGCAACAGAAAGCGCTACGAAGGCGCTGCACAAGCGCTCCCTGAAATACGCGACGCGAATCGTAGCACGCTACGTTGAACAGGTGTACCCCCGCCCATAGCATCAGCCAAGTGCTTCGTGCACGCGAAGGGTAGGTAGGTACCGTCCGTGTCAACAACCACGACCCCCGTGCGTCTTCAAGCCCTGCGGCAGATTCCCCAACCAGGAACTGCACTTTCTCCAAAGCAACTGCCCCCCGAGGGCACTGCCATAAGTATTGTCAGAGTACGCACCTCGGCATACTTGGCAATGACCCTCGAAACCTTGGCGCCCAGGCGGCTGTCGCCTAGAGACTCCAGCCTGTCCACGTTCTTGCGTAGGCGCTTCAGGGTCACCTACAGGACATCGTGAGGATCACGTCCGGACAGCGGGGGGGAGGGGTGGAATTGGGGGGGGGGGGGGGGGGGGGNGGGGGGGGGGGGGGGGGGGGGGGGGGGGGGGGGGGGGGGGGGGGGGGGGGGGGGGGGGGGGGGGGGGGGGGGGGGGGGGGGGGGGGGGGGGGGGGGGCGACACTCAGTCCTCGCTTGATGTCTTCGGTTGACTCTTGATCGCGCAATCCGATGAACGTGCTGCTCCAATCCAGTTACCTTGCTCCTCTGAATTTGCGAGCGGATAGGGAAGGGTCAGAAAACTGCTGGTAAATTAATAGTGTATGTCTTCATAAAACCTCCTTACGCGTCTTCACACGGGCTACTCTCGACTTTCTTAGCCTTCGCGCGTGCCGCTTCAGGACATCCATAGACAAATGAAACATGTGTGAACATCACCTCTCTATGACCAGACTACCGCTGTCCTCAACGTGCCAATAATACAAGAACGGATGTTTGATCTCGTCCATAGCCCCCACTTAGCACCAAAAAGACAAACGTGACAGACACTGGCGGCAGCATACAAAGCGCACCCCAACACACACCACCAGCGCGCAACAGAGGATATCGAAGCACACCTGGTCGTCTTCCGGAAGTGGCAGAGACGTGAGCACTTTGGCCAACGACGCTGCGAGCTCGGACACGCCGTCGATGCCGCTCAGAGTCCAGAGCTCTTCGGTGATGCAGAGCGCGACGTGCCCAGTCGCATCCACTCCTCCAGCTACGCCTGCCGTGCCCCCGCTGCTGCTACCGCTCTTCTCAGCCTTGGCCTTGGAAAAATCGATGGATGGGGCCCCGCGATGGTCAGGGTTACATTAATACGGGGGGTGGGGCGGAGGTTCCGGCGAGGGTAAAACCTAAGTCGTGTTGAGCAGGTAGGTAGGTAAGCCAAAGGATAAATATCTGTTGTGTCACTTGCGTTGTATGTTTGTTGCGTGAGAGTTAAAAGGGAGCACCGTTTCTGCTCCTGGTAAGGGTACATCTAACCTTTAATTTCGGTCTTGATTGCTATGTCTTTCGCGATGTTGATTCACTTTGGGGGGGGGAGTGGGGGGATGGATCATCACAGGAAACGACACCGGGACATCACACCGTCAACTCTCCATTCGTCAGGTCAGGAAACGTTGGAACGTTGGAGCCAGCACCCGCACAAGGCACCGCAGAATATTGCATAAACTACAACGAATATTGTAGCAACGACTTTGCGCTGGGCGAAAATTGCGCCCCTGCCTCCCAACCGACGAGCTTGCCAAACATCGCCCAGCCATAACAAACAACATAGAGGCACAACTGCTGAAAAAGCAAAACGTGTTTATTGTAAGTGCAATGTAAAAAGTAGATACCGGTGGTACTCTACCACTCACAACATCGAGCAAAAAAAAATGTGGGAGTCGCACACCTTCTGCTGGGTGTCTTTGCCGTCTTCTTTTTCTTCCTGGCCCTCTTCTTCGACCTCTTTCTTCATCGACGAAGATTCCTCAGCCGCCTCCGCCGCCTCTGCCTCGCGCAAGGCGCTCTCCTCCTGCTGCACCATTAGGAGTTCCCTCACAAACTTCACCACGTCCTGGGAAGGGACTTCGATCATCGCCACGGTCTTGTTCGCGTCGTTCTCGTTGTTTTTCTGGTGAAAAAAAGAAAAAATGAGGCAAAAAAAGACGAAAAAAACAAAAGACAATAAGAGACAATCATTGCCACCGCTGTTTTAGGGTGGGACTTGGACTAGTGCTACGTATCGCGTTCCCGGCGACCTCGTTGTTTTACTGGTGACAAAAAAAAAAAGATAGAAACAATGAATGCCGTCGTTGTTGTATGGAGGTGTTTGGACTGCTACACATCGCGTTCATCGACCGAAAATATACAAAAAAAACACGATATTTTCCACTTCACCACTGCCGTAGGTGCCACAACCGGAAGCAATTACACGGAGATGGATTTCCCATGTCGAGAAAACCCAAATACTGCTGAAACCAGCCGTAAAAGAGTTGTGACTACCCTGGAGAAGCGAAGCGGTCAAGCCGAATATCCTCTGTCGTAACCAGTACGTAGCATCAGCAATAGCAGGGAAGCTGCCAGGACTCCACGGATTGCACTCGCTTCCTTTCTTCCCCTCGCTGCCTCGGCAAGGTTTTGCGTAGGCATGACCCATAGCGAGGGGGGGGGTCTTTGTAGCGAGCAGGGCTAGACTCACCCTCAGGGGACCGATACCTTCTTGCTGCGGCGCACCCGCCGCGAGGCGTGCGTAGTGGTGGAGTTGGGTCGGCACTGGTGCGTCAGGTACAAAGGTGCAGATGCGCGGGCCTTCAGGCCGTCGGTGTAGGCAGCAATGCCCATCTCATCTTTGTGCGCGGAGGCCGACGTCATCAGAAAGGTGGACGGGCACTATGTACACGGCCCTAGGTTTGCTAGAGGGAGCTGTACTGTCTCAGTAACCTGGTTTTGCCATCAAAGGAGGAGGGGACATGTGGTGACGAGCTGATTGGGCTGGTTGACCCTTCGGCGCGAGAATCTTCCGACCGAGAACCCTAATTGCGACGAGGGAGAAAGCGAGGAACCGACTGGGAAGGACAGCAACGAGAGCGTGTACGAAGCGGAGCGGGTCGAGTTTGGTCGTGCTAGGACTGGCCTCAGCGGCACCGGAGCAGCGGCACCGGAGCAGCGGCACCGGAGCAGGCGGACGGCATCGAAGCGTGGCGCACGGACAAACATCTCTTGTATTGTCAATTATTTTTCCGTTTTGTTTCCTGGATACAGGTGTTGGGTGTGTGTGATGACGTCACTGGTTTTGTAGAGAGACGCGGCAGAGATGGCGCGGATAACCCGGGTGCCCTAATTGTGTACCTGCATCGTGGAAGACCCCTTCAATGTGGAACGATTCCTTGTCAGTGTCGATGTTTACACTGCTGTCTATCACAGATGATCTGGATAGGTTCGGGTGATTGTCAATTGCAATGATGGCTCTGATTGGGCGTTCTTCTTCATTGTTTGTCCACGGGCTCATTCTGACAGCACTTCAGACAGCAGCTCCATGCCCCGAGCTTGTGTACCATGCACCATGGTGTTATTATTGTACAGACAGCACTTCAGACAGCCGTACGCTGTAGTCGACAAACATTCATTTTGGTTAAATGCGGGACAAGGGGGGTGACGCTGCTGCTGTACTGCTAGTCGATTTGTAGTGTGTGGGCGTGTAGTTCAGTTGTGAGCACGCAAACGTGCTGCAGGGATTGCAGGTGTACCTCCTCGTGCTTGCGTACCCTTTCCTTGCTAATAGTGTGTGTGTTCTTCAGATCTTCTGATGGCTCTAGCATTTTTGTGACCACGGACCAAGTCGTTGCTAGATTTTGGGATTAGCAACTGACACGAGTTAATGTGAAGAAAAACAACAAACAACAACACGTAGTGTAACTCGCCCGTTTCGGACCCATGATTTAATCTCGATTCCTCCACGATCAAGAGGATGCCACAGCAGAGAAAGGGCGCATTTTCGGCACCGTCACTACTGCCATGGCCGCAGTGTAATCGGGCTTTGACAATCGGTCCAGGGGTGTAGTATCTTACGTGTGAAACGTTCGGTGCGTCCGTCTCGTTAGTTGGTCGTAAGCAAAAGAAACCAGAACAGCAGCAATGTCAGTGCGCTAGCTCGCGCGCAATATGTGGAAAATCACAACAGCAACAACAACAAGTTGCGCTACGAGCTCGTCCGCAACAAAAACTCTCAACAGCAAATGGATGTGTTCCATACCTCGGCAGCAACGTTGAGCTCGGCAATGCCCCTGAGGACCCCCATCACGTGCCGCACGGACTCGGAGAGCATGTCGCGCACCCTCGGACCAGCGGAGGGCAGAGACCGGAAGTACACACCCAAAATCTACGCACGTCACCATGGCGGATTGCAGATGATCAACGTACACACATGGGGGGGGGAGGGGGAGGGAGGGAGGAGGTTCGCCGATAAGCCCTGACTTCCTATGCGAGCCAATGAGGCGGCTATCCTGGTTAGCAGGGGAAGCGGAGACACCTTAACTGTGAAGGCGTCAATAGCAGCCGACACCACCCAGTAACCAAGAAGCAGTTCTGGAAAAGTGTGGGAAGAGGAAACATACTACACAGGCCACGATCAATCATCTATATGGCACACAGCACAGAGTTTTGCAACGCGTCCGCTTGTGACGACATACCTGGCTGAGCCGCACGCTGCTCCCAACGGCCTTGGCGTCCTCCTCCAAACCTTCCTCTTCCCCGTCTTCGTCCCCACGGGGCCCCACAGAGGGATCGGCGGCGGAACCCTTTTCGAAATACAATACGATGAGCCTCGCCAATAGCTCGGGGTCGTGCGACAGCTCAAAGAACAGGAGGCGGGAGATGGCCTCGGCGGCCACAGCTGTCATGCCCTATAAGAAAGAAAATAAATTGAGGTTGATTTTTGCGGGGATGCGTTTAGTAGGGTTATACTAAACGCGCACAGAGAGGTTTTAGAGTAAGCGTAACCCAATCCCGGTCCGTTGCTATTAGTTGAGTATATGTAAAATGCTTAGACGAGCGAAGCGGGAGCGTTCGATACAGCCACCTGTTGGCCTACACACGTCACAAAACCACGAGGGTCAACTCTTTCAACACGCTGACGTACCACGAGGAATGCCACACTGGGAGGAAACAGACGAAGAGGAACCTCCAAAATCGTTAGAGTGTGTGTGACCGATCATCTCCGGCGGGAATACGGTAACTGGGTTTCAAGAAAGCTGACGAGGGCCGGCGGCGTTCTACCCGCCGCCCCACAGACGGAAAAGAAAACAGCAACAGACACACGCGTTCTAAGGGTGCGGCTGATTCGCTCAAACACGTCAATCACACCTACGTAAGGTGTTGGTTTCAGGACCACTCACACGCGCGCCAACAGGCTCAATAACTACTTGCTTCCGCCAGATACAATTAGGTCCGCACTTGAGAATCTCTTTTGTGGTTCGAATGGCTGCTGTATAAGTTGACGTATAGGGGTTCTAGACCGAGCTAACCAACGATGCTCAAGTTCTTTGGTTTTGAGTTTGAAAACGCTCAATCTATATACATGCCGCGTTCCTCAAGTAAGGGTGTTAACTTGCCACGTTCCTTAAGCAGGGGTTTAAACTGTACAACAACGGTAGCAGTAGGCTGCTCTTTCCCGTCCGGGCTTGTGGTTCTCCTTCAAGCAGCGCTTACCCGATTCGCAGATCTGTCCTTAAGAATGTCCGCGAACATGTTCAATACGTCACCGGTCGATCCGAGGACAGCGCTCCTGAAGATTAGGGACAGGTCGCTCAGGGCCTGTAGTTTAACATGATTCGCGAGGGGTTACAATACGCAAGACACGAAGAAGCACGTGAGAGACGGCGACTTGATGAACGTACAGGAACAAGACGCGAAGAGCGAAAGACACAAAAAGCGCCAAGAACGATCGGGGGACAAAAAAGATTCACCGTGATCCCCCAGTCCACCCCACGCTCGGTTGACCAACAGTACATGCCATCCATCCCTCCTCGATTCAGCTCCCTGCCTCGGTTACACCACCATCAACTGGATACCTACCAGCCAACCTTGGAGAGCCTCTCCCGACACGTAACACCACGACCCCCCCCCCCCCCCCCCCCCCCCCCCCCCCCCCCCCCCCCCCCCCCCCCCCCCCCCCCCCCCCCCCCCCCCCCCCCC